ATTAACACCATTTACAAAATAAATTGTATGTACCATAACATGCATTACATCGGCCAAAGTGGGCGTCCCCTTCGAATCAGAATCCAGGAACACAAATCAGCCATGAAAATACACGATATAAATTCTTTAGTATCAATTCATACAGACAATTATGGACATCAGTTTGATTGGGATAATGTGGAAATCTTAGACAGAGGAAACACCAAAAGTGCAGTCAGGCAATTCCTAGAAGCCTGGTACTCAAACGAAAATGCAATTAACAAACACGTTGATATAGACCAAATGTACCAACTAATAAAAAGTAAATCATATGACGAGAAAGTTTAAAATCCAAGTCAATAGAAAATGGTCAATACATATGTAAAGATGGTTGGTCACCAGGAGACGCAATTATATCATTCATGAAGAAAAATTTAAATTATTTCACTTTATGCTAAATACTGCGCTGAAGATGTTGTCTAGAAGAAGGACGACGAAAGCTCCGCAACTAAACCAATCCACTCAGAGAACACTAATAATTGCAAATTTATACTCTAATCCATTTTGCAAGTAGTACAGTATATAACTTAAAAGTCAACGGAATTCTCATCAAATCATTGGAAAACTAAAGTATGAAAAATGTGTGGGACAAAGATACAATATCTTAGAAGAAAGATGAAACAACTAACTGATATTTGATTGTTTTAAAAAATAGCATTAAACGAAATAGGGTTTTCATAAATGTGGGAGCAATGCTTACTTCTTATTGTTCCTCGTCATTTATTTTGATATTTTATTGTTTGAGCTGGTGCAGCTTATGCTACTGTTAATACAGTTGTATTATTTCAGCTGGATGGTGAAATTGTGAAGCTTTCATGTGTCCCTGGACAACATCTTCAGTGCATACTCCAAATTGAAGTATATCAATATCATATACCTGAGCTACAGATCTTCCCCACTTACTCTAGTAATCTGTTAATTTATATGACAAAAAGCCCTAACTTGATGTAAATCAATAAACCATACGTTTTAAATGAGTTTGAAGAACTACATAAATATTCTTTGATACTGACTTATTGTAGTATTCGCTGTTATTACCATGAGCGTTTTAGAATAATCACTATTACAAAGAGTAATCAGATGCAATAATAATGGTTAAAAAACGAAACATGCGTCAGTTTTAACTTAATCTCATCAAATATTAATGTAAACTAAAAATCTATTTTTTAATGTTTCTTCGCCTCTGGAGTGACATTACTTATAATTTATTTTGGAAAATAAACCTTACATTTCAGACCTTTCAAAATACACCCTACATAACTGCTTCTGTGAATTGTGATGAAAGCTCTCGCGTACAGTTATTAGTATGACTTAATTTGAGGTAAAAACTAATCTCACTACTGTTTAATTTGATTCACGCGTACTATGGCGTGTTTATTATTTATACAGATATCGATATCAATACTGTCTGGGATAGCCATGAGCTAACAGACTTTTAATGATGTGATAGGTGATGACTCAAGATGTAATGAAAGTCTGGGTGGTGCCAGGAATCAAACCAGTGGCCGCTAACAGCTGACCTAAGAGATCAGTTGCTAATCAGACTGTCATTTCACTGCAGTCATCATGGGTAAAATGACCAACTGTTATTTGAATGTGTGGTATGTTAAGCAAATACATGTTGTGTCGTGTTAGATCACTAGATATAATCTCATTTTTAGTGTTTAACTCTCCGAGGATAGATAAATCCTCACAATGTTTTCACGTCTGGCTCACAGACAACTTCTACAACCCTCAAAGGAAAATTCATATCATGCATATGAAGACGGAATACACTGTTATACATTTATTATAAGATGAATAAAGTCTAAAATCATTTTTACTGGAATCAAAACCTATGGTTGGAGAAATGACAGTCCACTTCTGACGTCCGAAAACTTTTCATTCAGCTCCGTTTACTATCATGAGTGAACGTTAAATCATCTCATAAATTATCACTAATCAATACAAAAGGCTACTGCCCTGATTAGAATCAGTTAACTGTGTAATAAGAATAAAATTCCACCCTTATTTATTTTGGTCGCCAGTTTCCTCAGTGTAATAAGGTGCTTCGGCTGTGTAATCTTTTTATTTTGTAGAACTCTTATTCTTGAACGAACAATTTCGGAGTATACAGACTGAATTTCTTTACCAGTCAAGAAGGAGACTAATCCTAACAAATTAATTAGCTATTAAGGCTTTGAAAAATAATTATTACAGAATTATCCGAATCTAAGTGCGTCGGTGGCATAGCGGTTAGGACGCTTGCCGACCATGCACATCGTCCGGGGTTCGATCCCCGGCCGACCCACTCCTTTACCTCGCTAAGCCAGAAATAATGATGGTAAAGAGGAAAGGTTGGGCATGGAGCTAGCAACCCCACCCTGTAAAATAGACACTGTTACAGAAACTGCAAGCCTCTAGCTTGAAGCCCTATGTTCCACTGGGGAACGTAAAGGAAAAAATTCAAATCTAAGGAATCATGTAAGCAAGAAATCTAGTACACAGAAGAGATAAAAAAGCCTACAGTATCTTTATCATTCAACAAGGTATTGATAGAATCAGTTAATATAGTGCATTTCGCTAGCTGAGTAATTAGTGTATCGATTTTTCTCCTTAACTGTAACTAGAATCAATAAAGAAATAAACTCTCTGAGAAATAAATTATTGTTCACCTAAATAAACAACTTATTTCTGTAAAAATCTCTATATCAAAATATTAAGCCAAGATTTCAATAGAATTTCGGCTTTCTCACACTTGGCCGTTTTACTATTCAGATTGTATCTCATTGTTCTATGAACCACTGGACATATTTTGTAACTAGACGTTTTCCATTTTCCAAATATGTTTTCTCCGGTGGAATGCACTTGTCGCCTGATAACTACTTTCTCATTTCCATAAAAGATGGTTGATCTTGGTCATGTATTTCATCTCTTGGATTTCAACTACAATGCTTGTCACAAAGAAATAAAGTGTATAATATAAGAAACTAAATCCCACTAAAATGGACACAGTTCTGTAAAGTTCGCTTTTGGTACTGTTTTTGGAATAAAGTAAATCGTCATTATTATTATCATTATAAAGTAAAATAATTTAAATTTTTCTTCATGAATGATATAATTGCGTCTCCTGGTGACCAACCATCTTTACATATGTATTGACCATTTTCTATTGACTTGGATTTTAAACTTTCTCGTCATATGATTTACTTTTTATTAGTTGGTACATTTGGTCTATATCAACGTGTTTGTTAATTGCATTTTCGTTTGAGTACCAGGCTTCTAGGAATTGCCTGACTGCACTTTTGGTGTTTCCTCTGTCTAAGATTTCCACATTATCCCAATCAAATTGACATCCATAATTGTCTGTATGAATTGATACTAAAGAATTTATATCATGTATTTTCATGGCTGATTTGTGTTCCTGGATTCTGATTCGAAGGGGACGCCCACTTTGGCCGATGTAATGCATGTTATGGTACATACAATTTATTTTGTAAATGGTGTTAATTTTATCTCATTTTTCTGTTGGATCTGTTGGTTTACATAAGATAAAATTAAGCGATTCGACTGGTTTGTGTGCTACATCTATTTTCAAGTGTTGGTTTTGTAGGGATTTGGTTTGATTGTTTGGTACATCTATATCAAACGGTTTCATTATTCTAGCCATTATTTCAGAGATATTTCTGATATATGGTAGGATGAGTTTCTTTTTGGTCTTTAATGATGGTTCTTTGTTGGTGTTTTGATTCGACCTTAAACACTTTTTGATAAAATTTTGTGGATAACCATTCTTTATGAAGACCATTTGTAGGTATTTTTCTTCCATTCTTTTCAACTCTGGAGTGCTACAATGTGTTTGAATTCTATTAAACAATGTTTGCACACAGTTTCTTTTGTGAGTCACTGGATTGTTGCTAGTATAGCTGAGTATTTGATCTGTGTGCGTTAATTTTCTGTACACTTGTGTCTCTAAGTTTCCTTTGTTGGTTCTCCTGATTAAGACATCTAAAAATGGCATTTTGTTATCTAGTTCTTCTGCTTTTGTGAATTCGATGTCTTCAAATATGTTGTTTATTAAGTTATGGGTATATTCTAAATCATTTTTCTTAATTATTACAAATATATCGTCAACGTAACGTACCCAGATTTTCGGTTTAATTATAATTAACTATTGATATTTGTAGAATTAATAAAATTTTTCCCGTATTTATTTGCATAAAGATGCACCTGGCATTTCCTCTTTGATAGAAATATCAGATTAATATGTAAGGGGTAGTCTCTTTCATAATGAATCATCGTGAACACTAAAACCTTGTAGACAACTTTTAGTTGCTTTTCAGGAATTTTTAAGCCTTGAGTCATGAAAATGAGACACGGTGAGAGTGACTAATTTTCAAACCGATTAAGGATAAAAACTTCAACATCCGCTTTTTAAAGCATTCATGATGCTTATAAGTTAAGCCTGAGCGTCGGTGGCATAGCTGTTACGACACTCGCCGACCATGCACATGGTCCGGGGTTCGATTCCCGGCCACTGACGCACTCCTTTACCTCGCTAAGCCAGAAATAATGCTGGTAAAGAGGAAAGGTTGAGCATGAGGCTAGTAACTTCATCCTGTAAAATAAACACTGCTACAGAAACTTCAAGCCACTACCTTGAAGCCCTATGTTCCACTGGGGAACGTGAAGGAAAAAAAATAAGTTAAGCCTGAGTTATTTGATTACTACAAGAGTTTCCATACAAAGCTTAAGTCTAATTGACACAATGAGCTCAATAAAATTATATTTTTAAAGTAAACCGAAACCCATTCCGTAGATATTGGTTCAGAAAATCAAGTTTTATGTTTAGTGATTTGGTGAAATTGAATTCTTATCAGTACATTTCTTATTTTTTGATAATATTTTGAGGTTTTTCATTTTTGCTCTGATTACATTCCTGTTTTATTTACTTTCAAAACTGAATCTACACTCACTCAAAGTTCAATGAATGCATTTTCACCAATTACAACAATGCAGGACTCATCATCCTTGTCACTTTCAACATTATCATCGTCAACTTCTTCTTCGCCATCTTTTTTCTCCAATAAACCAATTAACACATTCTGTTCATATATGAAAAACTGGAGACTAGGTCGTTCCATTGAACCAATAGCTGAGAAAGAAGAACAAGCATCACGTACATCATCAATATCTTTAGGTAATGAAGAGTTGAATATTATTAATAAGGAAGAATGTGATGGTCTTGTCTCATCATCTACTCCTGATAATGATGTAAATTTAAAAGAAATTAACAATGAAGATAATTCTAATTTAAAACAACTTCAAAGTAATAAAGATACAATAAGTTATAAAAAATCTTCACAAGACAATGTTCATTCAACTGGTGAAGTTGGAAATTCTTTGGAGGACGTGAAATTTTATCGATTAGTTTCAAGATCAGCCACATGGGATGGATGGATGAAATTGACAACTAATACAAAAAAAGAAATTCATTCACAAAAAGTTATTGTAAAATCTAATGCGTATAATAGTGAAGCTACTACAGCTACTAACGGGAATACTGATATTACCATGGATAGTCAAAGTGAACTAAAAAGTGATATTATCGTGATGACGGCATTTTAAAGTCAAATGAAAAGAAGTTTTGTTAAATTCGTTGTTATTATTACGTGAATAATCAAATAATTGATCAATTAACTGTCATCACCATTATTATTTGTTATTAATTTCGAGCTAGTCTGCTTGATTGTTTTCTACCATAACCTGATGCGGAATGATTTGTATCTTCGTTTACACACATACTTTTAATTTATAAGTATTTTCTCAAAATATATTTTAATATTTATATGATTTAACTTGTATAATGTTTTCTGCATAGAGATTTAATATACGTTCAACATTTCAAAATTAGCTGGTCAACTTGTAACAAAATAAAATACTCCTTTGTACTACAACCATCCTGTTAAGCAGCGACTAATACAGTAAGACTAGATCTAATGTTTTTTTCCAAATGATACTTAATACCTCGCATTAAAATAAGGTAAATTACGGTTTTTACGAGTTGATCACGGGTTGATATCAGTTGGAGAACCATTGAAAACCAGGGATTACTGGACAGCTGCTGTCTCATCCTAGTTTGGGAATCATCGGCAGTACGCAGCCACTGGAATTCGAACCCAGGACCGTCCGGTTACAAGGCAAGCTCGTATACCATTCAGCCACTGGGACCATTTCAGCTGGCTGAACGGGTTGATTACAAACTCGATTCATCAACTTTATTCTTCACTAAACTTAAGATGGAGTGATAATTATTTGGGAATTCGTCTAACTTAACTAGAACGTGCCTGTGGAAAATGGCACTGCAACCAACTAGTCACCTGAAATTATCTCCCGAACTGAGATAGACACAAAAGTCAGACTGGAAAAAATGAGGACCGTGACAACCAACTTTTATTAAACAAAATACATGGTCATAAAAAAGGATGTAATTAACGAAGAAAATCTTCTTTTTGACGATTCATTTACATAAGCTGCACAATCGTAATTAAACTTAACAAAGAAATCACCAGACAAATCAGATGCTGGTAAACTTTTTCCTCGAAAAGTGTATTACGTAATGTGACGTGTAACTTAGACGGGATGACTAATTGGAAGTTAGAAAAGAGGCAGAAGTTAGCATGACGTAATAAATATGAGATAATGACTAATCAGCAAGATTGTGGAGAGTGAACAGGAACTAGTGGAAAGGTGATGGAGTGTTTTTGTATAAAAATGTATGAAAACGCAATGTTATTAACAAACAATAATAGAGTGATAATAAAATATGGATGATGGAAGTATTAATGATGATGCGATGATAATAATAATAGTATGCTCACATAATAAAATGTAGCAAAACTATGGTAAGAAAGTTACTGTGGTGACGATAGGGCAAGTAATTGTATTTAGCGCCTTTGAATACAAAGGTTCGGTCTCAGATCTCGAATATCCAATGATTCAGCTATGTACAGATGGCGTATTCGAAGTTGTTTTGTATGAATGGAGTACTCTGTGTAACACTGTGAAGCATTGTTGGGGTGCTCGGTGTTTAAAGTTAACAAGGTGTTCGAGAGAATGGAGCTCCTACTATTCTTCTTCTTTCCCATGGCCAATTAGGCTGGACAGTGTTCCAAAATACGTTTGTGGACTTGATATTCCATACAGCCGATATACTTTGCTCCACAAGAGCAATTAAACTAATAAATACACACTGAGATGGCCAAAAGTGGTATCTTATCCTTAACGTTAGACTGGATTAACTGTCTGCTGAAGAATGTGAAACGTGAGTTGGCTGCTTGAAATGTCTTCTTCAGACATTTAGAATGGTATACATCGTATATTGAACTTACTAAACCCTCGTTAATTTAAGTTATACATAGAACAAATCTGATTGTTTGCATGACACCGAAGGCCATCAAAAAATTAGGCCACAAACCAGTGAATCAAGACTGTCCAGGAAGTTATCGCGTCAGTACTTAATTTAATTAATTTCTTTTAATTTTATTAATTTTTTGATTACAGCTTGATTCCACACCGTATTCTCAGTAGAAGCATGAAATTTTCAGCGTGGATATCGGTAGCCCAAAATTCGCAGGCCGACCATAGCTATCAGGTGTGCGTCGGCGAGGGCTCGAACCCCGGACCATGTGCACGGTCGGCGAGAGTCCTAACCACTGTGCCACCGACGCACAAATTAAAAAAAATTAAAAAAAATTAAAAAATTATAATTAAATCATGGACCGGCAGCAGTTAGAGAATGTTTATGAACTAGAGAGTATTGAAGAGTTGTTATCGTTCTACTCCGGAACTCTTCTGAAGTACCCGCACATAACCTCCCCGGGAACCGATCCCAGGACATTCAAATTTTGAGGTGCGTCCATCGGCTATTCAACCATTGGGACAGATTTCAATGACCGACCAATTAGTGATGAATTCTGCCAATTGTGAAAATCCTACGTTTGGTCACAGGTATTTACTTCTGGAGTGTCCCATACTAGAACGAAATAGATGTCTAGCACCACCTTATCTTCATTAGTTCTCTAACCTATGTCAATTTCTAATCTAACTTGAAATTATTGAAATCCTCACGAAACAACACTCGAAAACGAATTATGTGGAAATTACTTCTTAGCAAACTGGCATTTCTAATTTAGGTTTCATGCAAATATATTTGATGATAAGCAAAAAGTTGTATTTTACTTCTTGCGTAACATAATCCCTCTTCTGTTTCCATGCTCTTTTTGGTCGTGATTTGTTCCTTTGGCGTTTTATCTTAATACATAAGAGGAATTCGGATTTGGTAACCATTAGGCTTATCTTTCGTGCTGGCTGAGACTCCTTAAGAATCCTATTGTGTAATCTTGAAGAAAGTCACATCATCGTTAGTATTTCAGTCTGCTTTTCTGATTGATGAACTCAGCTATTCAAGTAAGTATTGGGAGCCATAAATAAGCGGTAGAGTAAGATTTATTGGCTACCGTTTAGCAAACAATTTAATTATCAAGTTCTGTACATGCTGATGGGTAGTGAGGTCACAACGGTCTGTGGATAATCACTACTCAAAGTCGCCAGGTATTTCCTGATGACGAGTGAAAAGGGATTTTTATCAAGGAACTCTTAACATTCATCATTAGAATAATGAAAATCTAGGGCAGAGTAAAGTCATTTTCTCAGTGACTGTATCGCGAACCGGATCAATACATTCCGGAAAACACATATATGACTAACACATCTACACTACTCCCTGTGAAGTAGATAACCAGGTAATTTGTACTAGTTGCCCTTTTAAATTTCAGCATATACTCAATTAATTGTGGACGGTTACATTACACCGAATAATATGACAGACTAGATTTTCAGTTGAATTTTGTGACTAGCTAGAATGTGTCATAAACGAGTCTTAGAAATGTAATTTGGCAATTTAGTGTAACGATCAAAAAGCCTATTCAGAGATTGCAATTCCCAACCTACAATGTATACTTTTATTTTTCAATATACGCTAATAAAACTACTCAAATGAAATTATATCATTTTTATATAGTAGTATACAGTCACCTAATTTAACAGAAGCTAAGTAATACTCCTGATTACTTGTATAAATCATCACTGCCCTGTATTCCAATTAGGTAGTTTAAGATATCAACTTCTTGAAAATTGTCCCAGATAATTTGTTCAAGCAACCCAAGGTTGCTTTTTATCGTAGTCCTAAGGTGACGTGAACAAGTAGCCTGCGCAGGCAGTCACGCTTTCATGCTTAGAAACCATTCTTGTTCAGTATGCATTAAAGAGAGTATACTGGATCTATGAGTGTAATGTCATGTGGGAAAATGGTATTATAACACATAAATCGGAGAGATATATGTGCAGATTTCTTCTACAAAATCCAGAGTGATAATTGCAGTCGAATAATTAGCCACATGTTGAGTTACGGATAAAATTCAAAACAGAGGATTTGCATAAAGTACGCCTTATTTATACATAATGAAATATAATATACAAACCTCAAGATGTGAGGTGTCGGCGGCTGAGTCCCGTCAGATACATGACCTCTGTGAGCCAATAAGAAACAGTAACAAACTAAAAGTAGGAAAAGAATTAACAGTATGTAAGATAACAGTTCACCAAGGGTTTTGTACTGTCAAAATGACTACAACGCGGCTATATTCACCCACTGCATTCTCAGCTTGCAAAAAAACGAAGGTATATATTACCTTTATTAAAAATTCCCATTCGAACAATAATAGATACAAGACCAGTAGTTCAGCGAAGAGTCTCTTTTTGGCTGTCCAGTGTTGCCTGCTTTTACTGATTCGTAAAGTCAGTGTCAGTTTGTTAAAAAAATTTCTCTCAGATTGAATAATTCCCATTGATCTATTACCAAAAAGGTTATTAGTAGGTTAGTAAGTTATTACTTCATGAAAAATTCTCATTCGAAGATTAATAGACACAAGGCCAGTAGTTCAGCGAAGAGTCTCTTTTCGCCGGCGAATTCATTTTCATAGCTGTACAATCGCAAATAAGAAGACAGTTGCAGCGAAGAAAATTTTCTTTTCGACGAAGTCATCATCTAGGCTGTACATTCGTGTATTTATATCAAATGGATGGGAAAGTTCCAGAATAATATCCGGTCAAGGGGCAAATTAATAAAAATCAAAATTGGGAATTAGAATGCCATAATAAACAGGGGGATGGATAAAACAAACAAAATAGCATTAAAATAACTAAGAAGACTGACATTGTGCAATTAGGGGTTAGAAATGTAGAAATAACAAAATAGACAGGATGTTTGGATAAAAACTAATGTGATGAATAATTGTTTATGCAATCAGGGATTAAATATGTAGAAATAGTAAAATGACAAAATAAACACTAAGTTCGGGTATGAAAATATGGTAGTGTAAACAGGGATTAAGAAAAACTTGAAATAACATGAATAAACAGGAAGTTTAGATAAGAAAGGCGATGGGATGGTGATTACTAAAAATTACCTGTTTATGATGGCCATGGCAAGGACATACATATGGTTGTTTTGTATGTGTGTGTACGTTAAATTTGTCAAACGAAAATAGAATTAGTAAGTTTAGATTAATTGAATATTGATATAAGAGGATAGTAACAGAAGTGATGAGTTGTCACAAACGATTGTTAAAGAAGAGTTATGTAATAACGTGAATAGTTTGATGAAAGAGTTGTGCTCAGGGTGTACATGGAAACAAAATAACATACGGAATTACGCAAGGGTTTTAAGTAGTTAGAAAAATAAGCATACAAACAAAAAATAAGTGAAATCAAGCGAACAAGCAAAAGTTGGGTGAAATCAACGGAGTTATTAC